TGCCTCTCTGGGAACTTGCAACACCAGACCAGTAAGCAATATATTGGCCATGTGTGGTAGTCATACAACCCTTTCTTTTCGTCTCGCTCATCCCTAACAAATCAATCTTTCTTGTATTCATCATCTCACATATTTCTAACATCTTGCCTTCTACGCCTCCACACACATTCAGTGTAGCAAAAAGGCAATCCTCAGCCCGCTTTCTGCCTACTCACGGGGAGACAAAACGTGACGTGTGGCAGAGCACGTCGCCGTTGGGAATTTGCCAAGATACGACGGGGCTGCCTGAGCAATCATGCTCAGGGAGGGATTCTCCAGCGGAGCTGGTACCCTCCTGGGGTAGAGTTTAAAAATCCTAATTGAATAACAATACACATATTACACGCCCCTACAATTTTCGAAAGTTCTCCTCGGTTTTCCTAGGCTTCTATTATCAGATCCTGACCTCAATGAAAAGGACCATCTCGGGAGTATACCCTTTGAATCAAAACAAGAATTCTGGAAATCCGCGCCCGACGAGGTAGAAATAAAAAAACTTTAGGCATTTAACCAATTTTTGACAAAAATGTCGTGAAAATATATACCTATAAGGTAAAAAAAATATTATAACACACTACGTTATAATAAACTATAGTAATGAGCTATAGTGTAATAACATAAAAAGTGTAATAAAATAGTACGCACGCAGCGTCTGTGTGTGAGCGTGTCTACTGGCGTTAGATCGCCGCCGCGTGCCGTACGCGTCGACAACGAGTAGGTAAGATACTAGTACTTAGTACTCGTTACGTGTCAACTAGAAGTATGTTATTATCAGATTACATAAGTAGTAATAAGTACATATACTTACTTATTTCTGTTATTATAAGTTTTCGTGCGTTATTTGACATTGTTAATAATTGTTATCTCAATTCAACTCAGCACACCATAAAATATTATAACGCGAGCCGCATGTGATTGTGTCCAGAGAACAAGCCAAACTAATTCAATGCGATGAAATAGGATAGATGATCTAGCGCGGTCAATATCTCTCTCATACCTTTATTATTCAGGTTAGGATACTGGTACCGAAATATACCGGTTTTCATTTCATACCCAAAAATAGCGGTACCGAAATTAAATTTCGATACCGAAATTAAGCGGTAACCGTTATTTAACGGTATGACGTCATACCGCAATTTAAAGGTATCGTAATTTTTCGGTTATTCAGTCCCTGGATTAAAGTTAATACTTATTACAAATTTTCCGCCTGTGTTATCTGTACGTACACAAATACATAATTTATTCATTATGCTATTATGAATTTTCATACTAGGTGCATTTTCAAGGTCTTTGTCTATAATGTGCTTAAAGGTGAAGGAGATTCGAACCCCGAACCTTTGGGCTTATTATTCTTACAACAACCACCCATAAGAACAAAAGTCTAGTATGTATTAATATCTAATAAATTACTTATTTATTGTTCTTTTTAACTGATTTTCTCTGATCTCATCTTTACTTGGAACTGTTTGCTTGATTTTTGCAATAACATCGAATGATTTTAACACCGGTTTTAGAAACTAGGCTTGAATAAAAAATCTTTCAACCGCTCTTTCGAATCAAAACCTGTCTAAAAGTATTTTTTTTTAATTCTAGTAAATAACTAAGTATTGCACAGTGTTGCGTCATCCACAATTATATTCACCTTCTGCGGCTTGTCACAAGAGTCATTATCCTTCGTCCTAGCAACATAATACGTTTTATCGCCGTGCCCCATGTGCATGTATCGGCAGCCAACTCCATCCTGCTCTCGCACTTGTTTTATTTTTAATTTCGTTCGTTTTGCTTTTCAATCGTATCACACCGCGCTTGGCACTCGCAAACCGGACCGTGACTCATTCTCTATTTCACAAAACTGGTGGCAAAGGCTAGCGCATCCAAATTAAAAAAATAACACGTTGTTGTTAGGCTGTTTGCTATGTGACATGGTTTATTTTTATTCTTTGTTGAGCATCTTATTTTTCTAAGGTTCTTTGCTGTGATGCAATGTAATACTTTTGTCCTCGTTATAGTTAGTTAATGATGATTTTATCTACTTATATCAAATTATGGATTCTGTTAATGGAAATGCAAACTGAAACCGTATCTATCGATCTATATTAAAATATTAGTCAGTAATTCTAATTAAGTGTTTTATTGATAAGCGGATGATTGATAAATTACAGTAAATTAAGTTTTTTATTTTGTCATATTTATTAACGACCTACTTACTAGGAACATAAAATGTGATAAAGTTACAATTTTATTACAAGTGATAGCTACTTATACATATTTTTAATGCACCAACAACGATTTAAATTTAGCTAATTTGGGCCGATTTTTCCAACGTCAGTAAAATTTTATCAGAATATTTGACAATTCTCCTATACTATCAAAATCAATTTTAATCTACAGTTAAGAATTAATTATCTGCTGATTGAAAAATCGTACCTTACTTAATTTGTAAGCAAAGCATTACGTTGAACGTAATAAATTGTGGTCCTCTAGCAGCAGTACAGACAAACATAATATTTTCTCGTTCTATTTACAGGCACGCAGGAAAGTTCAAAGTTCGATGAGCTGTTTCTGTTGTTCTTTTGCCTTCAGCCTCCAGTTTAGCTTTTAGATAGCTCACAGCTATATTCAGTCCGTACAATCATGCTTATTCATTTATTTTTTATTTACGTATAGTTGAACCCACCTTATGGGCATGTTAAATTAAGCCAGTCGCCCTCCCACAGAGGGACTAGTACCTATTCGTATCAACCTGCTTGTTTAATCCGTCAAGGTCGCTCCGTCGGTACGAAATTGCCAAACGGATTTATATTTTTTCTACTACCTACTTATATATAATTCAACAAGACGGAATACACACATCCGTCTAACGGTGCTTTCACTTTCAAGGTCGTATTCCTAGATACGGTTATCTCATTTCACAAAGGACTTAGTTTATCCTTGTGACAATGTGTTTTGATGACTCATACATACATAACACCTTTTGAACGATCCTACTTGAAATTTGTTTGTGCATTGCATTTTATTACAGACTTGAACGAGCATCAGTCTGCTTTCATAATATGCTCTACTTCTAGTAAAGTTATAGATGTTTCGACAAAAGCTTTACTACGTACCTATTTATTTAGGTCATTAAAATGTCTTGTTTCATCTGAACTCGACCTCCACAATAAAAATATAATGTTGTGTACAGGCGGCCGAATGCACGTGTTATAATTATTATTATTGCGTCGCAGCACTATCCTTGTAAAGGATTTAATATGTTGTCATTGTAATGTTATTTATATGTTACATTACTGGACACACACAACTACTATCGATTAATTGCGTAGTAGTATTCTTTATCAGTCAGATGAACCTATTCTTGTCGCAATTGACTACATATAGGATGATAGAGATTCTGATACATGGATTTCTAGATAGAAGTTGTGGTAGGTACCAAAATTAAAATAACATAGGTATGTACCTATTTAATATGTATTATTAGATTACCTGTTCGTAAGAAGTCAATGACCCAAAAGAAGTTCCTTATTCAATAGATAAGTAAGTATTAAATTATCGCCACGTTTTAGATTATGATTGCATCATCTCCATTTCGGGAGTTTGAGGCAGGTCCAGTTTGCTGTGGCTGGCAAACTTTGTATTTAGAATAAATTAAAATAGTCCAGTGAATAAGCGGCTGGTGCTGCGTTGGTGTGTCGGACTGAACTATTCAGACGTAAGGAATTATCCTTACGTCTGAATAGTTCGTACTACGTAATCGTAGAAACCACATCTCACGTTCTTTGAACGTTATAAATAATGATCAATTGATTTAATTTTAGTTTTCGTAGTTTTCTAGCTAATTCAAAATAAATAGATGAGTAGGTATGTTAGTTGGCGCAAGTAATTAGGACGTCACAATTGAGTAATCCCATACAAAATTCATAGAAACGTATCGTTATTGACATTTATAAAAACGTATAGTTTATCATTCAACATTTCAATTATGAAATAACTCGTGATGTACAAAAATGTCAATTTGTATTCAGTATTCAATCCTCAATTCCACATAATTATCTCTATCCTAATTTTTTAATGCTACTGGGTTCAGAATTAGAAAAAAATCTCTTGAAAAATCTTGAATATTCCTAGATTTTTAGATACCTGGTCGATATTATGTAACTACTAACTCGCGTCCTATTACAATTACCATTAGAACCATTAATATAACAACAATACTACTCTATTGGAGTCGCGGAGAACCTAACGGGTTACCCGGGCTCCGGCTCGAAGTGCAGGAGAAGGAACGGGGTGGTTTTAAGTCAGTAAGAGTCTGACACTCTCTTCCGCCTCACCCAGGCGGGAGAAGCCATTCGATGATTTCCCCCCTTAAAAATAATACCACTCTATTCGCCTATTATAGTGATACGATAAACCTACTGAACTAGTGATTTGTTCTGGGAATCGGGTCTCACGGTAGTCGAGCTAAATTTATGTAGAATTTGAATCATCGACATCTATGAATGGACTACATTACAATAAATGTTTGATACTAACTAAATAAATGGATGATTAAAGTAGTACTTCAGTCATGCGGTTTAGTGACAATGACTCAACTTTGTTATTAAATAAACGATACCTAAGTAACTAATTAAAGGAAGCTGTAAACAGGAAACGAAGGCATGTAAAAGGTTAAAGATAGTGTTTTGTTGAAAAGATGTTTCAAAAAATTGGTTCTCAGCTTTTACCTATTTGGTAATTACATAGGTATTTAGTATCACAATCAGTGATAAGATTACCTCATATGTAAATAATTGCCGTGTTCTAGAGTTTCTGGCTACCTGTAACGGTCGTAAATGTTATTTATGATGAACTGGACTTTTGTTGCCTTTACACACTGACTCTATCTATAATATAGTGAGAAGTCCGTTTCCAAATTAGCCATCTTCTAATGGTTTTACAATAATGAAAATCCTTTATTGTTTCAGGGTACTGGTCTTGTGTGTAGCGGTGGTGTTGATTCCGGTGCGCGCTCAGCCATCGTTTTGCTCAGAAGACGTCCATTGCTTCGAAGGGTACTATTGCGAAAAAGAAAACAAAATAAATGAATGTCGAGAATGCCTGTCCTGTGAGGATCTCATGAGGAAGCCCCCGGCGGCATATAAACAGTGTATTAAGTCTGTCGCTGATTGCGGGGACTGCATCAATAAGTAAGTATAAGTACCTACTTAATAATGTGCAATCTAAGTATCCAATTAGAACATTGCAATATTTGAATTACTTGTATCAAAGCCTAACACAGTTATTCGATGTCTGGTCAGTTCCTAAAAAAACTGAAATATAAAGGATGTTTAAATACCTGCCAGTATTATGTATGTGGCATGGACAACTTATTTCGAGTGATCATAATGAATGTTTATAGATAGCAACACATGTAAGTCGGTACCCAGTAACCGTCGATGTGTGATGTGATAATTTGTATGTAACCAGTTAGAAACCAGACGCTAATTTGTTAACGATTCTACAACTCAATCGATGCTATGAATAGGTATTCGTCTTCTTTACGCAAATTCGGGATCATAATGTATAATTTAAAGTTTAGCTGATATTAAATGATTTACAGAATGAAGCACGCAATACACGTAAAAATATTGTGCAATACTGTAACATCCTTTGTGTAGAATAAAAATGTTGGAACATGTGTGATGCGGAATTTAAGATATCTTACGTCTTTTTAACATCCTGATGTTTCGAACGTGTATACAAATAAAAAACAAGTGAAAAAAAGGATGTTGCCACTGCCTTTCATGTTCTAAAAACTCAAATAATGCTCAAAAATACATGAATTTTAAGTCGATTGTTCCCTGTATCCTCATTACGAATGATTGACGTATTAGGTCTTTTGATAAACGTTGCTGATTATACGTAAAGAAAGAATTAGGTATGTATTTGAAAGCTAAAGCGTGTGACTCAAATAAAGGGAATTTATTGTGATAACAAGATGTACAGGATCTTCTGGCATTAGACCCGTTTTGTGCGTAGAATGAGGAAAACTTCATAACATCTTTTAACGGATTACCTATAACGTCATTCTTAATGACATAATTAAAATTTTAAATAAGAAGATTAGACCTTGAAATAAAAAGATTTTCTAGTTTTTAATTATTCTACGAAATGTCATAAATATCATAATATTTGGTAGCACTATTTTATGTTAATGTGTAAAATGTGTACGCTGATGACCGGCCTCAAGGTCTTTCTAATCAAGAAAGTGGATCGTCAGCTCTTTTAAAATCGTCGTTTGCATACTCCTCTAATAGCTTGGTCATCGACCAGTATTGACATTGACACCGATTTTTGTAATACATAACACCCAACTCAGCATTAGATAGCTTATAGCAGCTGGTTTCAGTTACGTCAATAGATTTTGAATTTTATTGCATTTAGAATAAGATAAGTAGCAGCTGCAGGATATAGTTTGCAGATATTGCAAGTAATTTATATTTGCTTGTACTGCAATCCTTGTGTCTTGAGAAATAAGACTCTAATTTCTACTGCACTTGATGATGATACCTAATTTATTTCCTGTTTCAGCTTGGTGGTGGACCGGCGAGCTGATGTGAATTCAAAGTGCGTGCCTCCTGACACCTCAGACCTGCAATCTACACCGTCCTACGTGTGGATATTCATTGGAATCGGGGTCTTGCTGCTCATTGCGCTCTTCGTCGGCATCATCGCCTACCTTGTAATCTTCAAGACGCCTGGTAAATGATTATTCAATATTTCAACAAAGAAAAATATTCATATTATCCTTCTATTCGTTTAAATGTTTGTGAAAAAGGAGGATGCATTAATTATAGTCTCCTTTCTCTTTCTTACTCAAATGACGCTATTCCTTAGGTATTTTCCATTAGGAAGTGCGTAAAATCACTGGTAGAAACGAGTTTATTAATAAATCTAGATTTTAAGGAAATTTATTTTGTAAACTGCAGTAGTTATTATAATTATTTTATGACGTGTTAATCCGCGTGTTGTTTTGTCATTAAGAGGCCCTCATTCAGAGGGTGTAAAAATATTGCGATCATTGGCGGCTTGATAAGATAAGTATTCCTAAGTATTACTTACATGCACTTGCATGTAGATAAATATCAACGTTAGACACGACCTGTCTATGTATATGTATGCAGATTCATGAAAACTACTTTAAAATGTAGCACCGATATATTTCACATATTAGTATTCCCAATCCATTCGTAATTGGTTAAATTCAATCTAGAAGGGAAAATTGCTGTGCAATACAGCGTTTTCAGAATTACCAATATTCATTTGAATTCCATTCTATTCTGTACTGTAACAAAGAAATTGATTCAATCTCAGAAACTGCACAGTTCGGAATAGTGCTCTACTTAATACATGGCACACATAAAGCAAATTGGCGGAAAATGAAGATTGCATTGATATATTTAGGTATTGATGACATAATCGTTTATTTCAGACTATGACAACCAGTCGAGTACGGTGACGGCGCGGATCACGGCCACCGCTCCCGAGGCGCCGCCGCCCTACAACCCTTTACCACAGTCACCGTACCACTCACCAGTGTACACTGATGTGGAAACCACTGCTTATAATGAAGGTAAGACCTTTGTTTAACAACATTCTTTGTCTAAGGCCACTGTTGATAAGGTCTTTTGTTTTTGAATACAAAACCAGTAAATACTAATTAGTTGTTCGCTTTAATGCAGATTGCAGAACCTTTGGGTAGGTCCGTGTGTGTTTTTAAAATAGTTCTTTGAGATAACATAACATAACATCACGCCTTTTATCCCCGAAGGGGTAGGCAGAGGTGCACACAGAAGTAACACCCACTTTTCACTATTTGAGTCCCATGTAATAGGGGGTGAGCCTATTGTCATATACCGGACACATTTCCAGACTCCGTGCTACTACTGAGAATTTTTTAAAGACCCAGTAATACTTTGCGCGACCCGGGAATCCAACCCGAGACCCCTTGCCCGGCTGTCGCACTTGCGACCACTCGGCTAACGAGGCAGTCTGAGTTCTTTGAGATATTAATATAAATAGTACGTATTTTGTGTGACCCAAATTATATTGTGACGGTTTTAGGATTAATAATATAATTAGTACGAAATTAAATTCTGCGAACGAATCATTTTTGTACAGCTAAACTCTCTTTATCTGTGCTCCCAACTAAACTCATAACTGGCGATTTATCATTTCAATCATGCATTTTCTTTGTTCCAAATTGTGTAATGCTTGATTATCTAAGACAAATGTTTCGTGCATGATTAAATCTACATATTTGCAAATGGATTTATAAATATTATAACCATGATCACTTGAACTACTTAAACTACAGCGAGGATATTTGAGCGAGCGAGTTCAAATGAGTTGAATGTGGGACGATGATTACGTGTTTAGTGACGCGTTCCAATCGGTAGATCTTGACTTTGGCCTTCATTACAAAGGCATACTAATTCACGATATCTTTGTGTATATTTAAACGAATTTTCAATTCTATTCAATAAAGACGGACCTCTTAATATAATATCTATGATCTACATAACTTCACGCTTTTTATCCCCTAAGGGGTAAACAGAGGTGCACATACGGCACTTATTGCCACTGTACAATGGATCACCCACTTTTCACTTTTTATAGCATGAGCCAGTAAACGAGCAGGCGTATCACCTGATGGTAAGCAATCGGCGCTGCCTATGGACACCCGAAACACCAAGGCGTTACAAGTGCGTTACCGGCCTTTTGGGAATTGGGAATTTGAGGATTGTGGAGGATTCGGGGATTCGGGAGACTAGGGAGGGGGGTAATTGGGCCTCCGGTAACCTCACCCACACGACGAAACACAACGCAAGCGTTGGTTCACGTGAATAGCGGGTGAGTCTATTGCCATTTACCGGGCACAATTCCAGACTTCCGTGCTACTACAGAGATTTTTTAATAACCCAGTAATACTTGCCCGAACCGGGTATCGAACCCTAGACCCCTTGCCCGGCAGTCGTATGTGCGACCACTCAGCCAATGAGGCAGTCTCTATGTCATAGTTTTGTCGTTTAAAAGGAGGGAGTCTCCCTCAAACCGGTGATGTATGTCATAATTAAATGAATCATTACGGAAACTCCTAAGTTCCAAACATTCAATATTCGGTAGCGTGATGACGTATGACATCCTACGCTTCACTAAACCATTACATTAGGCATCGTTTTGGCACTCGGAATGTGCACAAAGAATGCTCACAACACTTCATTGATACTGTATTGCATCGATGGTTTTGTATTTGATCGTGAGTGATGATAACTAACTTCAGTATTTTTTGTTGACACGGTAATACGATATCCGCATTTCATCAAATCACTGCATGGTTGATTGCTATAATATAATATAGGTCAAAGCTTTGGTCAAAGTAAATTTTTAGACTTTCTTGGAAAACCTGTCAAAAAGCTCTCTTTAGTATGACTCAAATAAAAAAAGAATTAATTGTTCAATTTGGTGCAATCCTTTGAAAGCGTTCGTATTCATTTTTCACGATTCCTTTTTATTTATATCATTCGCATTTACATTTTTTTCTTTGATCGTTTATTGTAATTCTCAGTAACGGACATTCTTTGGAACTTGTATTGCTCACCCTATATTTGAAAATAGGTTTGGTTGAAACCAAATAGTCACTTATAACCGTGTATCTGTCCACTTACAACCAGTCTGATTGAACAACCTATCTGCTGATAGATTCTGACAGTATTAGGACACCATTTTATGAAACTTGGTATGTTAAAAATCTATCTTACCTTCTAGCACCAATATGCCGATGATATTTACACTTTAATTTATTTCTCAGTATACTCAATGTGTCTATATTTTGTTGGCAGACGAACAATTCATCAAGCGTCCCCTACCTCGACCGCAGGACACGCGGGAGTCGGCTGGGAATCAAGCCGCCAGAGTTTATAACAAGCCAATATATGAACAAGAAATCCCACCGCCCAGGTACGTTGTCATGTCTTTAATCAATACATAGTATAAAACAAAGTCGCTTTCGCTGTATGTCCGTATGTATGCTTAGATCTTTAAAACTACGCAACGGATTTTGATGCGGTTTTTTTTAATAGATAGAGTGATTCTTAAGGAAGGTTTGTATGTATAATATATGCATATTGCACCCGTGCGAAGCCGGGGCGGGTCGCTAGTATACTATAAAATCTTCATCATCAGTTAAAAGATAATAGATATCCACTACTGGACAAAGGCCACCTTGATGACTTGACTGGTATGTCATAATCTCCTCGCTTGGCAGGCGATTTGGGATCACAATTTTTCAGTTTCACTAGCCAACCAAGCTATAATATAATATTGTGCAATTGAAACGATAGACTGAAGATTTCGTTATCAAAAACTAAATTATTAAGTAGTATTATTAAAATAAGATTTATAACACATCCAAACAGCCTAAGCTTTTGTATTTAAATTATGGATTAGCTTATTGTTGTCAATAAGTTTAGTGTTAAATTAATGTCAATTTATTATCCTCGATAAATGCACTATCCGACACAAAAATAATTATTCAAATCGAACCCTACTGGTTCCTTTCCTGAGATCAGCGAGTAAAACAAACACAAACAAACAAACGAACAACCTCTTTAGCTTCATATAATAGTATAAGATTATTAGGTATATAGATTTTTTAGAAATTGCATTAAATAATGATTTACTTCGCATTTAGAAATCAATCACCTCTTCGTTATCAAAACTAATCCCACAAGGAGTAATTAATTACTGGCAATAAATGGGTGTACTTATTTGCTTACTAATTGGGGACCCGGGACGAGCGCTATCTGATAAAATTAATTTTTAAACTGATCTTCAACCCACATGCCGAGCGTGGAAAATATAATAAGTCATCTAAAGTCACGTAAAGAACTGGAACTTTTGATGTTAATTGTATAATGTACATAATATAAATTTTGATTATAATTTACACACCAGGTCTTACAAGGAGTAATTTTGGAAAGGTCAGTTGTTCATAATTATTTTTATCACGGGATTATTCTGTACCTATCTTTTCTTTTTGTTTTCAAACTCAAAACGAAACCGTCTTCATTAAAATTATGAAATTATATCAACATAACATAACATCACGCCATTTATCCCCGAAGGGGTAGGCAGAGGTGCACATTACGGCACTTAATGCCACTGCACAATGTAACACACCGACTTTTCACTATTTATGTTATGAGTCCCATGTAATAGGGGTGAGCCTATTGCTATATACCGGGCACATTTCCAGACTCGGTGCTACTTCTGAAAAACCCAGTAATACTTTGTACGATTCGGGAATCGAACCCGAGACCCCTTGTCCGGCAGTCGCACTTGCGACCACTCGGCCAATGAGGCAGTAATTGACACTAACTTAATTCATTATTTCTGGATTGATCAGTCCTTTGACAGAAATTCCATAGAGAACTGATGTCAAAAATCGTTCTTAATCTAAATATTTTGGATTGAAATCAGTTATTAATTTACGCCGTTAATCCTTCGCTGATTAAGCCTGTTCTTTTATCATTTAAAGCATATCGTGTTACACGTAATTGTGCAAGTTAATACGTAGGTACTGTAATTTATATTGTAATCAATTATATTTTTCAAGGGCCAATGTGTCGGTTGCGATCGCGTGTTGTTCTTATGTTTCAAATTTCCAAATTAGGAAATAATGTATCTATTGATGGTTCAAGAACAATAAAGTACAGTTCCATAGACGAGCTAGCGAAATATTTAGACAATGATTCACATGTGCGAGGCCGACGCAGGAGTGCGACGTTTAAGAAATCCTTGTGATAAGGCCTCTCACAAAACTTCTTCTAAAATCTTATATCAATTTTATTGTACTCACACATACAATATACATATTTCTGTTCAATACATGTCCTTGGTGCGACAGATAATGGTGATAATTTAATTATTATCAGGACATTATCAGATATTACTCCTGTCATGATCACTCAACTTTCTTTTAATTTTATTGATATGTTTAGTTGGTGTTAGATACGTGTAGGTATGTGTTGAGGAAAATTATAATATTTTATTTTTAATCCTTGACGTAAAAGTGTCATTGGTGTACGTTTGTGGATGCTGAAGCTCCTAAACGGCTGAACCGATTTGGATGCGATTTTGTGCGTTAATTGGTTTGTTCGTTTGCTACAGTCCTGAATCACCTGTGCCGGAGTATACGGAGCCAATGACGCTACCAGCTCACGAGGACGATGAGACGATGCCCAGCCCGTGGATGCCCGATTCCACGACCAGCAATGGAGACGTTCCCTAGTAAGTATTCTTTTGTATTATCTTCTTGGGTTTTAGTTTTTGTAGAGAGTAGAGAGAACTTCTACGAATAGTTTATTTTATTAGATAATCTGATGGATGTGCTACTATAGAATTTAGAAATACAGCTACAGTAAAATGTGACTATTTTGCTCTTCGGTTAACCACTCTAAAAGTTAAAAAATACCCCATTTTCTAAAACTGATAATTAATTGTAGTATACAAGATATTTTGCAATTTACGAACAATAAACATCCACAACAAATTCGCCACTAGGATTTAACGAGTAGGTAAGACACAACGAACATAAGGAACTGAATAATTTGACACGACTAGGACCCCAGAACTATTACAATAAATATACTATAAATTTCCTGTTTTACTTTCACGTTGCCGGACGCGTTAACAGTCGGCTTTCCTTAGTAATACGAAGCTCCAATGTAAATACCGATTGCCCTTGACTTTGTTACTTCGGCAATGTCTTTGATAGAGTTCGTTACAACACGCGGTAACAGTAATAGCTTAATGTAAAATTTAAATGCTAAAGTGTTTGACGCTTTACGCCCGCAATTTAATGGTCGGCAATAAATAAATAAGGACTGCTTCGTTAGCCGTCGCAAGGCCTATTTCCTCTGAGTTCGATGCGGCATTTATCAAAGTAGTCAGATAGGCAATGCCGGCCTCATCTAGTTATTTAAAGATTTACATGTAAAAATATCGCTGATGGTACTATTTGTAAAACTAAATATAATTTCTTGGCATGTCGATTTCCGGGTAGAGTGAAGGATTATTGGGCTCTTTCAGTTTCTGAATAGGTAACACGGAGCTTACAACCTAATTAATACTAAGTATAATTTTATCGTCTAGTGTACTGATTTATATATTTTGTGAAACAGTGTGGTGACTGAGACCGGAGGTGGTGACGCGGACGGTAGCTCGTCCAACCTGCCCGCTCTACTGGCCGCCGCGAGAGACACCACGCTCGTCGAACATCCTGCAGCTAAGAAACGATGTATCAGACAGGTATGTAAATCTGTTTATGTGTAAGAGGGATACGAAACTAAAAAGTATTATGTGCTAAAAATATTTGTAAGATTTTATGTTCTTTAGGCATTCAGTGCTAATGTTGAATGGGAAAAGTTATGAAACTTTTTCTTTAAACAAGTAACAACTAATTCTTAAGTCTTAGATAATATTTATTTGAAATTTCTGAAGGATATTTTTTTAAGGATAAAGTGCGAGGTTATTTACGTCTGCATTTTGTTCTCAGGACTCCCTAAACAACAGAAACCGGGATAATGGTTCATGTGGGGACAGCAGTCATACCAGTTTCCCGCGATCGCCGTCACCGAGTCAAGGACAAGGCGGGCCGCCATACAGCTTTATCACACAGATTACAAACGTCGTGCAGATCAACACTAGCAAGTGACGTCACGCCGCCAACGACAATACTCCGCTACTTAGTCCATAATAAGGTGAAATGACCATTTTATCTGTAAAGTTTGAAGTTTACTCCGAGATCGTCATTTTATCTTAAAACTTAGTCTTATTGTTATTAGAGTAATTGTGGATATTGTAATTTTTTACTTTTTCTAGTAAAATTGAAAAAAAATGTTACGAAAAGTCAAAGAAAATGCAAAAAAATGTTTTAGGTAAGCATCAATGTTAGATTGGTGCGTATAATGTGCCTTATGGAGAGATATTCTTACCTATTGAACTGTGATGTAGATTTATGTGCGTATATACCGGTGCATATACCAGTCATGTTCGAGATCTGTGCGATCAATTCATGATCTCAGTAACGTAATGTAATGTCTTAGATACGCCTAGTGAACAGTCGGTAGCTTAAACGATGAGAGAGATGGAAAAGACATTATTTAATACTTGCTTGCTCAAGTTATATTAATTTAGAAGAATATTTGGATTGTTTTATACTTTAGAAGTCGTTTAAGAAACCAGACTTTAAAGTATTCAGTATGGTTCAACGTGCTATCAAATTTAGGCAATAAACTAGTGGCTTGTTACATAATAACTGAATCATTTGAAATGTAATAAGTAATGTATTATTTATTTAGCATAATATCTTAATTCTAAGCTTTCAAGGCTTGAAGATAAGATATAAATAATGTTCTTCCTATATAGAAAAATTGTACATAAAGATACTAATGTTATTTTATAAATGTTCCTTGAAGTTGCAAAAAGATATATAAAATACAATTCGAAGTTAACGGTCTTTACAGGCCTTTAAGATGTTTATAGAATATTTCAAAATGTGGCAAAAGGCGTTAGACTTGTTAATTGTGTACACAATGAACAAGTCTAACGCCCGAATACTGAAACGTTACTCATTTTTAAGTCACGCTTAAGTATAGTTCTGTCACTACATATTCTTTGTAAAATGACAGAGATGGCACGATATTTAGCACGACTTAAAATTGAGTAACGTTTCAGTATTCTGCCATAAATTAATCGTCTGTTGCAATATGAGTTCTCAGGTTTCTATTGATTCAATTTATTTGACACCAATTTATTATATAATGTAATTGTAAAATGGATGTCTTTGTTCTAATATCTTGTCTTATAAATGAATAACTTAATGCAATTTATTATCATCAGGGATTGTGATAATTATGTATGTAGGTACTATGCCCAATATAATGTTTTACTAATAATATTTCATTCCGACTTTTACAACCTTATTAGTTTTAGATCTATTTGACCTTCAGTCAAATTAAAAGATAAATTAACAATACATTAAAAAAATATGCAACATGTGCTGATATAATTAATACCAAGTTACAAGACATGTTTTATTTTTAGCAAGGAATGTGCTACATTTTTTAATTAAAGTGATATTTTACGAATAATAAAAAGAAAAATACATTGTTTTCGAAAGATGTGATCATTACATTGAATAAACAAGGTAAAACGAATATGTTCATTAGATTACATATTTTATTCACTATTACAACAAAACAAGAAAATGTTCCAATTTTTAATGACTTATTGCATTTAATAGGACATACACTGTATCTTTACGCTGAGGTACAATTTGATTTATGTACTTACGAAACTATATTTGATTAGTACAGTTTACCATATTGTAATTAAACATATTTTAGCATTTATTTAAACACAATACTTAGTTATTGTGATTGATATATTTTATGCCAATGTATTCTAGTGTGCTATATTTGCGTAGTTGCTTCCATTATTTTAGTTTATTGTTTTGCATGATTTTTTTTATTCTAACGCTGTGTTATGTGCGTGTGATCAGACCGGCCATTAGGTGTAAAAAGTTTAATAACAAATCTGTTGCCTAGCAACAGTCTTTAAACTAAGATGCAGTTACACCGGTGCTAATATTTTAGTAAATAAATAGTTTTTATATATTACGTAATTGGGCAACTGATATTTAATGTTCCGTTGATTACTTCGATTTTATTTTAATTTGTATCATTTAATATTGATTGAAAGTTTCCGAATATCAAATAAATACTCGCTTTAATTCACTGCCTGTATTCCTACAGTAAATACGATGCTCATTACTTAAGAGATGTAACTGAAGGCTGTGAAGCACTTATTACAAGTTACACTAACTCTTTTGTTAATTGTTAATGTTAAGTCATTAATGAATTGTCCTCCCTGCCGAGTTTTACTATTCATTAATGAGTTAAATGGGATTTTAGTCTCTTGTGAATAAAGTTGTATGTAAATATTATATGGTCTTTTTATTATTTATCAGTTTAAACAGTTTATTCCTATTCTTATTACCTTCTAAATCCTGTACACATAGTTGGACTCTGTACACATAGAATTAGACGTCGCCGTATAGAATTAAAACTAACAACAACCGGTTTTCGGGGCTACAACCACAACGGTTTCATTCAAGTCCTTGGTGCTAGCAGGAGACGATAGCTCTAGAAGTTATCCATATTCTCATCTCTTTGGCAAGCTAACTTACCATACATACACTGAGCAAATACGAATCTAGACCCCGCGATATTATTGGCAACTTAAAAGTATTGAATATCTTATCAATTATTTTCCCTAGCAAATAAGTATGCAACTATACTTGCCTAATGGAGCAAAATCAATTAATATTTTTTTAATACTGCCTGCTCAACTTTTGACCATCAAATATTTAATTATTATTTCATTCATAAACAAAAAAAAAGGAATAGGTACCTAATCAAACATTGCACAGAATAAAACATTGTGTAAGCTTGTGAATAAAATTTACAACGTGGTATTATTACGGATCGAGTAACTTAACTTCTCATTCTTGAATGCAAGGTATCGGTACGTTGTTTACAAAAGCTCTTTTGTTAAAAATGTTCATTGTTTTGAATAGATAGCGAACGAGAATAATAGGGATGATACCTTTGTGGCGCGCGACATGTTTGAACTTGATTGAAGTGTGGTTGTTGATGTTGTAGTCAAGTTCTTGCACGATTTACGATCCCTAGAGTTGAAAGTAAGCATTGTTTTTTCTTCAGTTTTATTGAAGTCGTTACGGGAATTGGGTGACGAGTCCTGAGTTCGCGGAGATCTTTTAAACAAATTCTGGTTTATAAACGAGTTAGCAGTTAATAGTGAGCTAAGTCAGCAGCTTATCAGCAGAATTAAAGCCATAAAGAAAATATTTTGATTTAAAAAATATAAAAGATAAACACCTAATTTAATACGAAGACCCAAGTTATTTGTATCTATCGGATAAGAAAGGACACAACCTGAAAATGTTTCGGTAAGATTCTAAGATTTCAATCTTTATTTACCTACATTATATTTACCTACTTAGTTATTATTAAATTAAAAAAGTTAGGTACCTACTAATACCTAAGACCTACCTGTGTACCTAAGAATATCCTACCTGATTTAGGTAAGGTAGGTAAGTTCCTGTTATTAATTCCTCACATGGATAGATGGACTACAAATAGACACGGGTGCCGCAAGAATTAGGTAGGTACACTACCTATCCTATCTTAGTAAATGATTTTAAAAATGGGCGAAATGTGTGTGTTTCATATGTTGCAAATGGCCTCTAAATGAATCATAAAAAAATCTGTATTGTGTATCTATAGGGGGGCTCCAAAAATTGCTTTAGGCTGGTTTTACAGTCACGCCGCTAGACGCGCCGTTGGACAGCGCGCTGTTGGACAGCGCGCGTTTGAACAGCGGTGCACCATAAAACGACATTAGTACGCCGCGTTTCGCTGCTGTGAGACAGTCGTGTACAAACAGATACAAAATGAACGGCAATGCGGTTAGAGTACTGGCTATTTACTTTTTATGGAAAAAAAGGCAACAAAAACGTCGAAGAACAGTAGGTGTTGATCCTTATAACGCTACAAGGTTACTGAGAGGCGAACACGTAACATCTTTCTCTGATTTACGAGAAAATAGTTATAAATTTTATAAATATTTACGCCTATCAACCAGCAGTTTCGACGAATTACTGTGCAAGTTAGAGTTTTCTTATAAAAATCATCGGCCGGGTCCCATAAACATCTTCTAATTCGCACTTCGTCAATTACTCGACCCGTATCGATGTGATTCATTTTGTACACAACAGTACCTAACGGCACGTCTCAACGGCGTGAGACTAAAACGCACAATGGCCGTAGAAGCGCACGAGCGGCGCGCGCTTCGACCGCGCCGCGCGAATAGGACGCGTTCAACGAACGGCGCTGCTCAAGCGCGCGAATTTGAAACGCTACTAATACCCCAATACATATCCGAGCGCGCGCGCTCCGACGGCGCTGCCGAAACGCGTGACTGTAAAACCAGCCTTAGTGTTTAGTTAGGGCGTTTATATGTCGCGGAGAACCTAACGGGTAACCGGGGCTCCGGCTCGACGTGCAGGAGAAGGAACGGGGTGGTTTTTAGTCAGTAAGAGTCTGACACTCCCTTCCGCCTCACCCAGGCGGGAGCAGTCATTCGATGTTTTTCCACCCTTAAAAAAAAAAAGGGCGTTTATATATTTTGAGATACCAATTGCAAATTATTTGCGGTCTAGGACCTTCAAGTCCTACTTATATAAGCTAATTGATGAATGACTGTAAGGTTGGTGCGGGGGCTGGGCAAACGGCTGCCGCGCAACGTGCCACGTGTTCGATTCCCGTACGGAACAACTCTTTGTGTGATCGACAAATTGTTGTCCGGACCCGGAGTCTGGATGTCATGTGTTTGTATGTTTGTTAACGCACCCACGACACAGGTGAAAATGCTAATGTGGGGCAATTAGTAAGTAATCCTCGTAAAATCTACTCAATTAAATATATTACATTTTTGCAGGTTCGTCTGTACGTCACTGCTATTCATAATGGTTGTACATGCACATGCACAACCATTATCATGTGGAGGAGACGAACACTGTGCGGAGGGATATTACTGTGAGACTGAAATAAATATCTGTCGGGAATGTTTCCGATGCGAAGATTTTAATCGACAGCCTCCGAAACTTTTGAGTGAATGCATCAAGTCATTGGATAGATGTGGCCTTTGTAACAAAGGGTGAGTTATTTTAAATGCTTTCTTAAACATATGTTTATGAAACATATTTTTACATATGGGTATTTGTAAATACAACAAAACCAACTATTTAAGTCAATTTCGATTTTAATGAAATTATCATACTTTCCATAATCGTTTAAATATTTTATTACAATTTATATATCATAATACTTAAAGTTGTATCTACTATTTTACGTGAAGTTGATGATAATCTAGCGAAAACACTTGTTTATTTCAGATGGACAGAAGTATAATTTATTGTACCTACTTACGATATTGTAATGAGATACCTATTCGATTCGTTTTTAACTTACGTAAAAATATGATTATGCTTCTGACCATATATGATGCAACTAAAGTTGCTGCCCATACGGTTGCTCAGGCAGCAGAGAGCGCTAACCACTTTATTCTCTTATCTTGACTCTCCTTCTTCACCTAGCTACCTTGCCTGTTACTTCCAATATAGGTACTTGCGCAAACCACACGAGCCTTCGTTCGTCTCAGAATCGACACCTTCAATGTATTTCTCATCGCACTTCTTTCATTCTTATTATTTTTCATTTAAGTTGTTGTTTTGTGGAATGCGCTGCCCAAAGAGATCAGAATGACAATAAATCGCAGTTCCATTTAATACAAAGTCCACGAGAATATCTTAAATATATGCTCGCGGACTTTATTGGCAGACTCAAAATAATTGACAAAGTTTTCTAAAATGGTTATACAGTGAAACCTGGTTAAGTGAGACATCAAGGGACCTGCAATGTCGTTTCACTTAAAGAGGTATTCCACTTACCCAGTGTCTCAGATATACAGGTATAAATAAATATCTGTCTCATTTACAGAGGGTTCGATTAATAGAGGTGGACTTGGAATTACGTGTGGAATTTGTGGGTAGAATAAGAATGAGTAAACAAACAATGTTATCTCAGTTACAGAGGTTTATGCATATAAAATTTACTCGCTGTCTCAGCTATATAGGTAACTATGATGATAAATCGAAAGAACAAATCCCAGATATAGAGGTTTATCTCGTCCCACTAACAGAGGTAATTCAGTGCCAAAGTGTTGGGACCTCAGCATGAGTTCCAGTTATGGAGGTTTCTCACTTATCCAGGTCCCACTTAACCAAGTTTCACTGTATTTAGGTATGGAGTAGGTATAAGTATTCGTTTAGCAATAGGTAAATAATATATTAGGTATATAGTATGTACTATGTCTATATAGATTTTTTAAATTATTGTAATAAGTAATATATTTATTCTGTAGGTATCTATGCGTGTAGTTTACATATTATTTAATAATTAAGTTAACTTACATTCTTTATGATTTAAAATTGTATTCTGACTTAGCATCAACCGCTTCCTTATGATTGATTGTCACAGAATGCCATTCACTGCATTTGCTTTGAGAAGTTAAAAATAATAAAGAAATATTGTCACTCACCCAGTCACCATTAATAAGCGACTTTTTTTCAGCTACATATTCAGAAACGGAGCTAAAGGAAAATGCGTCTTACCAGAGTACCTAGAGTTCGGAAATGGTTCGCACTATAGATATCTGTGTCTGATCGCTGTGGCAGTCGGCCTGGCCTTCGTAGCCACCTCTATGTACATTATAAAGCAGATCGCGGGGTTTCGCGTCGTCGCCGTCGCTTATTGTAAGTCTTGTATATTTTATTAACACGCTTAATAAATGTATGTATTTATTTAACGTCTTATATAAAATTTATTTTTAAAAAGGTTTAATCAAATAAAATTAATTGCAGATGATGATGTCGGGAAACTTACACTGCACTGCACTCCGATACTGTCAAGGAGTCATTGGGAAATACTTGCTGCAACAGCATATGTGAGTAAAACAACTGATCAGACCTTTGTCCGCCTTTAGCCTGTGAAGTGTCGGAACGCAAATCTACGCGAGACACAGTGTGCTTTCTATTGTGTCTCATATATCTACAGACGACAGGTAAATTCCGCGAAGGACATGCAAGTGTACCCTTTTCCCAGTAATGTTTCCCATGCCCAAGCTGGTGCTTCTATTGGCAGACACCGAGCGTAATCCCAGATACCGCGCTAAGAAATTTTTGAAAAATCGATAAACGCTACAACAAGACTGCTTAACAGCGATTGCTTTCTTTATCAACACAACTTTTATTTATTGTATTGTAATTTAGTAAAATTAACTGATTTTTTTGTTTTAGGATCAAAACAACAACACTAACGAGTAGTGGGAACGTGAACCAGTAAATTAAAAAGTACTTTCATACTTTTAATTTTCTACAATATATTGTATTTTTTTCTATGAATAGTGCCAAAGTTCCGTTTTTTATTACTGTCATTTTTATCTAGTGTTTAAGCCCATGTTATGGTACAAATCTCACAAAAATGTGATTTCATCTTTAAAGTTAATTAGTTATTATTTGTTTAAGTACAGTTTCGTATGGTTTCTATGTATAATGTTAATTTTTTTTCAATAAAGTTGCATCCTAATGAGAGTTGTGTGTTAATTACCTAGATATAAAAACAATTAGGTCTAAATTTTTAAATGAAAGATTTGAATAGCTTCCCGTAATCAATAAACGAAGTGTTAAATTTAATCAATATGGGAATAAAAACGACCATGACTTCAAATTGAAACACAATTTATTAAGACAAACTTAAAACTAGGACTTTAAAAGTGTGCCTTACCCAGGTCAGATGTTGTGGAAAATAGTCGAATCTTATAGATTAGTTGTGCCTTGTGCGGCTTCTGTAATTGTTGCGCACATTTTTAAAATTGTTGCGCTTATAGTTTTTTAATTATTTAACAAAAACATTTCCTGCTGGGGTAACTTTACCCCAGCTAGACCTTTCTCTTTCTAATGGGAATATTTAAATAACTACAAGCTATAAAATTAGTTGTCTAGATGAAGTAAATGTTGTGCCTTATATTGTATTTGTTCTTTAATCGGTTGCGCAATTATTCGAGATTTTGCTGGGGTAACGTTTTCGGTCTTGCTAGATCTTTGAAATGGTTAAGCGGATTCTTATTATATTTTGGCATGGCGTGAGGAACTCAATATTATCATAACTTGTTAAATACTAATGAAACTTCATTATATTTGAAGGTAGTTACAAGCATCAAAATAACGTTTAAAGTAGGTAAGTCTTTAGAGCTCTTATTGAGAGTGCTGGGACCAATTGAAGTTTATTATTTTGTTTTTTTATTGCAGAACCAATTTAAACTAATTCCTAAGACGCCATGTACAAAATATGATAAGAATCCGCTTACCTTTTCAAATATCTAGACCAACCAAAAACGTTACTAAACTTTGATTTGTTTTATCTAAGTAATGTTTTAATATACGACAATATAAAAAAATACATGTCTTAAATTTTTCATTACCTAACTTACGGACTAATTAGATTTTTAATTTTTCATACCCTGTCATCATCCCATTTACAGAAGCCGCAAAACTAATTATCTATAAGAATCAAATAACCATTTTCGACAACATCTGACCTGGGTAACGCACACAATGCAACCTTAGAGATTACTTTTACGAATAAATAAATAAAGGAAGTGAAGAAAAAATACTGTGCTAATAGACTAGTAAAATTATCTATTTCTGTAACTTCTCCTAGAGAGGTTTAAGGTGCAAAGTGCCTTACCAAGCCTTATACAAGCCCATATTTTTATGACATGTACGTTTTGTCTAATATTAACTGATTCTGTAAAATATTCTAATCATTAGTGGCAATGAACAGTGCGATAGCATGTAGCGTGGCGAGGTCAGGGTCGTAGTGCTGCGTGAGCGGCGCGCGTGCACTGAACACTATCGCCTCGCGCGCCTCGTTGTTGTACACCGGCACTTCTACGCTGCGCTCCCAAACTAACTCGTTGTCCGATTCCTGTAAGCAATGTGAATATTTTTTACAAAAAAAAACAAGAGACCCTTATTATAGAATTCATGTTATTAATAAACAGGGGTAAGCAACTGGGGTTTTAACTTAAATATTCAAATAGGAGAGTTGAACAAGTGATTTGGATCCAAGGACCATATAGGAGGTGTACCGAAGGGACCGTCCATAAATTACGTCACACGTTACGGGGTAGGGAGGGGGGTTGACGAAGTATGACATTGTGTGACAAGGGGGAGGGAGGAATCCTAAACTTTGTAATATAATTATATTAATGTTTTTCATTTTGTATGAATTGGTATTAATATTTTTTTAAAGTAATTTATATAGAAATAAAACTGATTTCGCTGTTGGGGTTTCACAAATGTGACTAGCTGTGACAAGGACGGGGGGACGGGGAAAAACTCATGAAATTCGTGTGACGTAATTTATGGATGACCCTTAATAATCTTATCTGATAATAATTTAATCCGGGAGTCGGAATTTTTTCGAATCCAGTCGTTGAGGAAGTGAATCGAACTCAAGAATGTAACAAACGAAACTGTGAATCGAATAGAATCTTCATGCTTGGTAGTCAATATTGCGACCAGACAACCAATTAAACTGAAGGAAACTTTAGAATGAGTTTGATTGTTTTTTATGATTAAGTATTATCATATTATATTATATGATTTAGTATGACCTGCAGCACGTATCGCAGCAGTAGCGGCGGCGCGACGTCGTGCGGCGGCGCAGTGGGCGCGCTCGGCACCAGCGCGCCGCCCGACCACTGCGCGCCGGACAGCCTCACGCCGCGGACTACTATACCACCTTGAGTGCTTTCACCTATAAAGAATAACATCTTTAAATAATTCTTTTATAAACTACGTTTAAAGAATCCGCCTACAACCCCCTCTTTTTTGAAGTTTCGGAGGTTCTCTTCAACGCGTATGACAATTTGACAAATGCATTTTTGACACTAACTTTAACACTGACCAGAGAAAAGTGACCGGTTATAGTCTAATTTGTTACGTCATTTAACTATTTGTCAATTAGTGCAACATTATTTTGACCTAACCGATACTTTAACAGATATTTTGACGTTTGTTATTGTTAAAGTAAGTTGGTGCAACCCAGCCTAAGTGTAATAAACACTTTTCTGAAACCGCATCAAAATTTGTTCGTTACCCCAGCCAGATGTTGTCGAAAATGGTCATTTGAATCCGATAGATAATTAGTTTTGCGGCTTTTGTAATTGTTGCGCACTTTTTTAATTTATTGCGCTTATAGTTTTTACATTATTTCACAAAAACATTTCCTGCTGGGGTAACGTTACCCCAGTCAGACCTTCTTCTTTCTAATGGGAATATTTAAATAATTACTAGCTATAAAATTAGTTGTCTAGATGAAGTAAATGTTGTGCCTTATTTTGTATTTGTTCTTTAATCGGTTGCGCAATTATTTAAGATTTTGCTGGGGTAACGTTTTTGGTTTTGCTAGATCTTTTTAAATGGTTAAGCGGATTCTTAGGAACGTTACCTCAGCAAAATCTCGAATAACTTCGCAACCGATTAAAGAATAAATACAAAATAAGGCACACCATTTACTTCATCTAGACAACTAATTTTATAGCTAGTAATTATTTAAATATTCCCATTACAAAGCAAAAGGTCTGGCTGGGGTAACGTTTCCCCAGCAGGAAATGTTTTTGTGAAATAATAAAAAAACTATAAGTGCAACCAATTTAAAAATGTGCGCAACAATTCCAAAAGCCGCATAACTAATTATCTATAAGATTCAAATGACCATTTTCCACAACATCTGGCTTTGATATCGTATCATGCATCAATCAATCATGTCCCCTGTGATCCCCTTTGGACTGTATCCGCTTTACAATTTTACTCAATGATTACAAATTCATCAAGTCTTCTTTTTAAAATCTGACCACGTGCAGTGGAGATATCCCTCGACTGCCTCCTAATTGCCTATCGGTTATTATAACTTCTAGAATGGCTTTATTGCATTCAGTGTTTTACTGGTCGTTTTTATAGGTTTTCATAGGCTTTGTAACTCCTTTGGTAGCAGAATCGTCATTATGTTAGATTAGGTTACCTTCACTCCAGTCCCATTTGACGCAGAGAGTGAGTGCGTGTAGGTGGCAGTGGGCCCGCGCGGCGCAGTGCGCCCGCAGCGCCCACACCACGCGCGCCGGCCGCACGAACGACCGCAGGTCCACTTCTGAACAATACAAGTTTACACAACGGTGAACTACTATTATTTTCTAACTCGCAAGTGCGACTGTCGGGTAAGGAGTAGCAGGTTCGATACTCGGGTGGGGCAAAGTACTACTGAGTTTTTAAAAAAAGTCAATGGCAGCACGGAGCCTGGAATCGTGTCAGGCATATGACAATCGGCTCACCCCCTATTACATGGGACTCATAACATAAATAGTGATAAGTGGGTGTTACATTGTACAGTGGCATAAAGTGGCGTAATATGCATCTCTGCCGACTCCTTCGGGATAACAGGCGTGATGTTATGTTATTATTTTCTAAAACAGATAGTTACATTATCATACATATTATAGCCAAAAACACACTACCGAAAATTGATTATTATTATTATAGCGTAGGTATACATCCGTTTAGCTCAAGGCAATTTTTGTCAGTTATACGTCCCGTAATACAGGATCTGCTTTATTGTTTCCTACGTGATCAACGAGACCAAGAAATTAATGATAGATTGAAACTATATTAGTATTTGAAGTAATTTACCTGTAGGCATATAATCTGCAGGTTGTACAGTGTCAAGCCGCGCGAGTGCGGCGCGGGCTCTGATACCGAACTCTTTAATGTACGAGTCCATGGCCGTCGGCCCGCTCCATAACATCTGCCATTCGTCACTTACCTAAAACATCATAACGTTTTATTTGAAAGTAATAAAAGTCCTATTTTGCCTCAATTATGTTCCAATTCCGCTAACTTTGTAATCTGGCTATTTATACGATTTTTTTTTAAATTTGTCTCATACTATGATTTTCTCATGTGTCGTGGGTTGGTTTACAAACATACAAGTTAAGAAAGAAAGAAAGAAAAAACATTTATTTGGCAATTACACGCACAGAAAACAAAGAATATAAAAAATAAAAATACATAATATAAGTAAACAAAATACTAATAATAAACTTACAAGAATACAGATCAGAACAGAAAACATCACAATATAACAAAATAATAA